TTGTATTGTTTTAATCGAAGCATTCTGTTGTCTGCTAGGTGCAGTGATTAGAGCGTCTGCTCTAGAATCGAGAAGTTAGGAATTGATCCTTACGTTGCAGTTTCGAATCCCAATGTGAGATTTGATGACCGGTCTTTCGGATGAGACCGTATAAACCGAAGCCCCCTGTCGCAGTAAGTGCTGGCACGAAAAAGATACTTTACTGCTCAATCACCCTAAGTGCCGAATATAGGGCAAATTTTGTAGCTTTTCGACGGCAAATACATGTAGTTGCGTCTCCGTATGAGTGAGAAATTCTCGAAAGGGACGTTAAACAACATCCAATCATTCAAATCATTTTTGTTTGTTTTACTAAAGCTTTCTATTTTGATTCCTATAGAAATATGATTCAACACCTGCAAATGTGTTTTTTAATTGTTGTTTATATATTTTCGCACTTTTGTACTTTTTGTCTGATTAAAATTTACTTAATTGTGAGAAAATTGAAGTTTTTAACCTGGCAAACATTTAGCCTAGGAATGTGAAAAAGAAGAGTGATATTTTTATGATCCTTTTCCAAGTAGACTGATATACCTAGCTTACATTAAATTTTATTACAAATATATCAAATTGAAAAACAACTACATGAACAAATTTTTTATACGCTTCCCTTTTTTTTAGTGTGCGGTACATGTGTTACAGTGTACTGCCAAGTGTCCACTTTACGTATACTTGAAGAGACTTGACTTCATATTTATTTTCTCTAAAAGAAAATAAAAGAACTTTTTAACCATTTGGCATAAAAAGACTTGTTTTATTTCTGTTTGATTTTCTTTTAAAATAAAGAGAAAGTGACTTAAAAAGTTTACTTGATTGCACTTGAACAATTGTTTGATTAATATTGTTAAGTCCTTTACAGATATTCTTGTTCTCCTGACCTGCATTACGCACACAAGTAAGTATAAATAGTTGATACTTTGGTATACAAATACAATGCTATAGCATTATAAAGTTTATTTTTTTGAATTTAAGGAATTTGAAGATATATATTTGATTCTAAAAAAAATCATAATTTCAATCAAACATTGAATATTGAATTTTTAATGTCAAACAATTAGATGTACATGTATATGTAGGTATTGTGATATAAAACGAAATTATTTAATTCAAAAAATGATACCTGAAAAATACTGTCAATTATTTTATATAAAATTAAGAAAAGAACATAAATATTACATTATTTAAAATAAAAAACGCTATCATTTTTCTGTACTTTGCGTTTGATATTCAGTGCTATTATATGTACAAGTACATGTACTCAAATTAATCTAGCTGCATTTGTTCCTACTATGGTCTATTTTAAAATATCAAATATTTGCTAATCATTTTCATCTTGTGGTCTACAAAATTTTATTGCCCTCTCGTATATTTAATTTCATTTTACAGGTGCTTTATACTGTGTGTCCTGTTCTGATTCTGTCTCTCCAAGACATTGTCACACCGTCAAAAAATGCAGTGAGGGAGAGGTAAGTTGTGATTTGTTTGCATTTATGTTTATTTTTTGTTGATTTCAAGTCTGAAGAGTAAACATGCTAGTAGTACAATATATACTTGTAGAAGCACTGTCTAGTTAGTATAGTATGTCAGGGCATCAACGATGTTGGGAAACATGGGATAATTTGCATAACGGACATAGACAGTTGTTCTTTATATATCTAATTCATTGTGAAAAAAATTAGATGAAGATTTTGAAATTGAAGACATATAACTTATTATTTAACTAACAAGAGGACTCCCATGCCATTTTCAATAGTCCTCATCCATTGACGTAAACACAAATGCGGGCGCATTTACATGCATAATTGGCCTCCTTTGCGACAGACAAAGAGACATTTGCATGCATATTAGGCCTCCCCAGATCCTGAGCTATCCACCTGTCTAATTTAAAATTATCAAGAATCAACTCTGCTTAATTTTTAAAAATTATCACAGACAAAGAAAATAGAAATGGAAATATTCATCGATAACTCAACGTACGAGGGGTTATCAAAAAGTCCATGGACTAGCGTCATAAAATTAAAACCACTTTAGGCACATCAATGAATTTTTAAATGTCTAGTAAGCATCATCATTTCTATCTTAAGAATAAACCATAATTCATAAATTTTATTTTTAATAGATTAGTAATGTTTTTGTAAGCAATTGTATGTCCAGGCGGCGCAACCTCGAACACGACGTTTTTGCGACCTATGTGTAACTGAAAAAAACTCTTTTATTATGAATATTTGACATCCAAGAACTTTTTGATATATATATATATATATATATATATATATATATATATATATATATATATATATATATATATATATATATATACAATTTAACATAAATAGGTTTGCTTCAAGGAGAGCCATGCGTCTGAAAACGGATTAACTGTGTTCGATACTGGCTGTGCAAGTCCCCAGGTAACGTTTGTGTCATCATATATCATCTTATTTTATGTACTTGTACATGAGTATCTTCGTATCTGAGAGAGGACTTAAGCTTATGGGTGAGTTCACTGCATATCAAAAGATACTTTACTTTTAACTGTTAGAAAGACAACAACCACTAACAGTCCTCAGGGCTAAGATAAGCTGAGCTAAGTGGTTCTACGGACATTATGAATAGTTCCTTTACAAATTCCCTCTATATTTTGTTTCGGAATCGTATTCATACAGCTGTCAATATTTTGAACTTATATGGATAAGTAAGTAAGTAATGAATTTTGTTTATAGTCGGACTACATACACATAACAAAGAACATTAGCTATAAAACTCTGATAACGACTAGAAACATAGAAAAATATTCAGCACTAATAAATTGTACGTATATACATATAAGAGCACAGTTATCTCATTTAAGATTCACGAAACAGAAGTACATTAAGGATAAATAACACAAACAAACTTTTTTCAGAAATCAGCATTATTTCTCATAGATTTACATTTAAATTGACAACCTGAATAATGTTTACTAAGTAGAGAGGGAGAATTTTATAAGATTTTGTCCTAAAGTTAAAAAATTGTGCAAAATTTTGTATGGAATTATATAGAAGGCAAAATAAAATCTTAAATTTAAACACCAAGGAAAACCTACGATTTCTTTATATTTCAGGGATTTATTATTTATATCAATACAAATCAAAATCAGTCAAAAAATATATATCAACCCGCGCATCCATTTTTTGTTTGTGGTAAGTACCCTTAAAGCACACAAATGTTACCAAAGACTTCGATAAACACATATAAAAAGAAAAGAAAGAAATAAAAGACAAAACATTTGCGCAGCACACAAAGAAAATAAGAAAACAACAAGACTAGTACATAACGACGTTCGATCCTGATTGTTAAAGTCTTAAACTTTTTTTGTCAAGTATATTTTTACTTTCTCCACACATAGCTTAATTAAAAATCAAATTAAATATGGGGGTCAACATGCTTCTTTTGGCGCTAAAGGACATTAAATATGACCTTTTTGCACTGAAATCTATGTCTTAATGAAAAATTACATCTTCAGCGTTTTCCCTCTAATATTTTTATCCAAATAAAGCATAGAACAAAATAAACTAAAAGTCTATTAAAAAAAGACAATCTAAAATTGTGACGAAGAAAAAAAATTCAAATTGCTACGCATAATCAATTATTTGATTTTTTTGCACTCACAAAATTTGATTTTTCTGGCATTAAAAATCAATTTAGCAAGAAATTTATTTTAAAGTCTTTTACTTTTGCTGAATTTAAGCAGCTAGGTCAAAGTTAATTTAAATATTCAGAAAATAACATCTAAAGTGAGTGTATATGATGTAAAGTTTTGGATATAACGAAAAAATTATCAATTTTCTGTTAAAAGTGGCTCAATTATTTCCCGGACTTTCAGATTATATTTATTATATTTGTCACAATTCGTCCAAAGAATTCACAAGAAATAATTTGATGGATATTTCAGAACACGCGTAAACATTTCACTGCAAAAAACAGGTTTGTGTGCAACCAGCATGAAAAAATAGGAAACTAAAATTAACAGTACTCTGTAAAGTTCAAAAGTGATAAATTGATAATTTTCTTCTAAAAAACCCTTCCGCCACAAAATGTAGTCCCTGTCTTATTCCTTCTTAAATGAAATTACATTGCGATTTTTGCAATGGATATAGTTTAATTTGCATTGAAAAATCTTAATTCAACATTACAACTTAAAAACGATGCAGAATTTTAGAAATAAAGGTCCTGACCAAAATCGACTCAAAAGCACAGGAATGGACGTCTTTAAAACAAATGTCATGCACACATAAAAAGGAGGAAATGTTTAGAAAGCACAATAAAAGTAGAATAAAAGACGATCATCTACAAAGGTAAATATTAGGTTTGAGGCATAAAAGTCTGAAGTCTGCAGAAGCTGCATTTACAGTTTAGTTCTCCACACCAAATTGAAATTAATTTGAAAATTGGTTATAAGAAGAGAATTGCCTGGCTTCATTAGGCAGTGAGTTCCAGAGCTTTGCTGCCTCATATCTAAATGATTTCACCCCAAACCTTGTTGTTCTTGGTCTTAACTTTAAGTTGAGGGTTATATCTTAGATAAAATATTATAGTATATCCATTTCAAGAATTTCAAAGCACTGTGATAAAGGTATAATATTTTTTCGGTCCAAAATTGTCCGATGCATGGTGAATAATGTCCGAACCATGGTAAATGAGTTATTTAGACAAAAATCGATTTTTTGTGATATTTTCTCAATAAAAGGCATATAATTGTGTCCCAAATTTATATTTTAATTACATACTAAGTGTTAAGCTCCATTTTGATAATGTTCCGTCGGTTGGTAGCCATATCGCTAGAACTTGTTGAAGTACAAGGGTATCCGATGCATTGTGAATTCATCCTAATCTAAAAATTGTATGAATTATTTTTATAAACAACCAGCTCTTGCAAAAAGACAGTACTTAAACCTTGGATAATTTTATAAATTTCTAGATCAATGGCACGTATTCTTCTGGTTTTCAGAGATAGTATTTTAGATTTATGTAAAACACTTTCATAAGAACTTTTTTAATCTTCATAAATGAATCTTAAAGCTCTCATGATTTTTTTCTATTTTGCAAGTGTTTTGCTCAGTACAAAAATGCCATGTTAAGGGGCAATAACTAAAATTAGACAAAAGTTTGATAATTTAATAAGAGTGATATATTGTAAGTTTACCTAACTTAGTTAAGTGCTTTCCTAACCGTTAAAGAACATTCACATTGAAATATTGGTTATTTCCATTTTTGAATATATTTGAGACTTAAAAAATAGCAATACATACAACTAGTAAGTTAATATTACAGACCTTTCAATCGCACCGATAAAAAGCTTCAGTTCATAATCATCCCGTTTATTTTTATTTTTTCCTTGTTTATGTACGAGGGTTGTCCAAAAAGTTCGTGGACAATGACGTTTTTTTAAAAATAAATGGTTCTATATGCATCTATTGTATATCAAAATATTCCTTATGAAAAACCAGGTCAGAATGGTTTAATTTTTAGATATGAAACTTAATAATTTTGTAAAAATCGGGGTCTTTAAAGATAACAGATTGTGCGCACGGACCAGTCTGACGTTAAGCTAATTTCATTATAACGTCAAACATTCGGATTTTGACTTAACACATGCTAATGGACACACACTTCATTTCTTTTTTAAGGTGCATCACATTTCCATTTGCTAGCAATTATCTTTAAGAATAGATTATAATGTATTTAATTTTTAAGATTCAAAACAATGCACAAGAATTTAAAAGCGACATCTAAAGAAGCAGTTTGTATACATATACTGCACAGCCCAGTCCGAAGCCGCGCTAGATTTATAACAACGTCATGAATAGAAATCTCCATTTTCCGTTAATAACATGTGTTTTTAAATTTTTGTAGTGTCTCCGAATTTGTACACACCGTTGAAAAATCATGTATACCAATCTGAAATCGATACACAAAATATATATCAATAATTTTGAGTTGTTTTAACGAATATTTTGTCTCTTACGTTGTTTCAACCGTATAAAAACTAATTTTTTGATTGGACACTGACCCGTGCGGACAGCTGACGTCGATTTTTTTTTGTCGAGCCTTGACACACATTTGTTAGGGTTTTTGTTAAGTATTTGTACTGTCTATATAGTAAGCGATACTTAAGATGTCATAAAATGGCTATAGCCTCTTTATATGTGTTACATAAAATTTTTATTAATTTTTGACTCGTCTTATTTAGAAAATAATCATTTTAATCCGTACATTTAATATCAGAGTTTGTGTTATTTTAACCTTGGTCCGTGCGCACTATCCGCGACCTATGAAGACCCCGATTTTTACAAAAATATTACGTTACAGCAATAAAAATTAAATCATTCTGATTTGTTTTATCATAAGAAATATTTTGATATACAAAATATTTATATAGAACCATTTATTTTCACAAAAACGTCATTGTCCACGAACTTTTTGGACAACCCTCGTACAAATGTTTGACTAAAAATTGATAGTAAAAATACTTTAGTTCTATTTTCGTTTATATATATTTTTTCCATTAAAATGATTCAAGTCGTGTCAATTACACCCCGAAGCTGATGTGAGAACTCTGCATGGAGTGGATCCAAATAATCATCAATGCATGAAGTGTTGTTCTTCTCATCTTTGTAACAACCAGGGATGTGGACAACCAGGTTGGCCCATGCTTTTGATACTACCACAAATGTAAATGGTTGTTTAAAATATTATAAACTTTTAATACATAAAAAGGGAAAGTATTTTGAGGACTATAAACAAAGAAGAAGGTACAGTTTGGGCTTAATAAATAATTGAGTAGATGAATATGATAAATCATTCAAGACAACGAGGGCTGTTCAATAAATAATGTCCTGGGGCTCGTAACATAAAGGTTGCTAAGTTTTTTTTACTTAAGTAGAGTCCTAAGTACGGTTTAGGTATAATCTTAGGACCTGCCTAAGTACTACATAAGTATGTCTTAAACCGTAACATAAAGCGAGCTAAGCCAGGTCTTAGCTAAGTCAAACTTATGTTAAAAATATTTATTATGAGTCCAACATATGGTATTTGATTTTAGATAGATATATTGCTAAAAGTGGTTCAGTTAGGGTTTTGATTAATAACATATTAACGTTGACGTCCTTGTCTCTCGGTTTAAGGACAGATGATACAAACAAACTTTTGTCAAATAATTCGAAAATAACAACTTGGGTCATGTTTAAATAAGTAAAATTAAAAACTTAGTTTTTAATTTTTTATTCAAATTTGCCTAAAAATGGAATTTGAAGTGAGGAATATTTGTACAGATTAATATGGATGGTTTCAGAACGGCAAACGTTCGAACACCACAGAAGGTTAACATTTTCTTTATATTCTAGAAATTTATTAATCGCATCATTTGCAATGAAATTAAGCCAACGAATAGATATACCAATCCAGGCAACCATTTTTTGTTCGTATCATATGTCCTTAATACTACCACAAATGTAAATGGTTGATTAAAAATGTATCATCTTTCAAAACATAAAAGGGAGAGCATTTTGAGGACTACAACTAAAGGAGAAGGATCAGTTTGGGCTTGATAAATAACTGAGTAGATAAATATGATAAATCATTAAGTTAAGTGCAGAATAGCCTCAAAATGACTCATTTCTATGCTTAATTTCCTTCAAAACTATAATGTCTGCTACCGTCGCCAAATTCGAATTTTGGATATACTTTAATCTTATTACAATTGGCAGTTTATTCTTATTTGAGGTTTTGGTGAAACAGTGCAGCCGCTAAATCAAGTACAAAGCTATATGGCTTGCACATATACACAATAATGAGAATACGAAGAAATGCACTAAATCAAATCTACGCTAACTCAGTCAAAAGTTGATTTCTGCCAATTATACGCTAAATGTAATACATTTTCAGTATTATGTAAAATGCTTTGGAAAATCACATATTTCAAAATCGTTCTTGGCGACGTTGGCAGAGGATATTTCTTTGAAAGAAAATTCCACTGAAACTTCTGCAACCTTTTAAGAAAATACGGGAATATGAACAAGTTAATGACATTACAATTCTCATTCAGGAGGTCATAGGAGAAAAAAATAATCTGTGTTTTTTTACTGCATCACGTTTCTGTTATTAAGAAAGAATAATTTTGATTTCTATTATCGCTTTCATATTTTAGAAAAAACACAGAGCTTAATTTGTATTGAAACTAAACCTTGTTCTTTTATAACATTGATTATTGTTACCGGTACAGGACGTATTCTATGATATTATTCATGCATATGTAGAACCATTATGAGAAACTCTATATATTTGACAAGATGTCATGTTAAATTTCACAGGATATCCCTTAAGTAGAGGCCCAGTTTGCTTCAACTGTCCACAAGTATCAGATCCAATGCTCTGTGACAAACTGAAAGTTTGCGAATTGAATCAGGTATTTGCTTAAACATGTTAAATTCAATTGAAATATTACGGGCACTACTTTTTACTATTTTAAAACAAATAAAAAATATATAAAATCATTTTTGAGTACTCCATACATGTTTTTTATCAAAATACATATGTGTCCGTTGTCTCTCGTTGTTATCATCCTTATCTTGTTATAATCTTAACTTTATAGAATCATATACGAGGATTGATCCGAAATTAGTGTCCCAGTTACCATTTCTTTTATATTTGACTTCATGTCATTGAATATAATTTACCAAAACATTGGACATTGGAATATTTTCATTAAAATGTTTAATTGTTTATTTCTTTGATACCCGGTAGATCTTAACACTCTTCCCCGCTGTCATGCATTTAAACGCTTATAATATTTTCTAATTCTAACGCAAAATCACGCACACACCATTTCCCCTCAATCACGCATTTTCACGCACTTTATGAAATTAATTTTATCGTTGATTTAATACCAATTTCCTTCTATTTTATACTTGCAAAAATCACATCAAAGAAGAAAAGTTCGTTTTGTATTAAAACATAGCGTTATAATATTATTTACGCTAAACTTTAGAAAACGTGTACCACGCTAAAATTGTGCCTGTGGTTAAATATTGAATTCTAATTTCTATAACGAGAACATTTAGTGTATGTTGAATAACAGTTCAGTAAGTTGTAAAGAGTTAAAACATAGAACATAGAATGTTTTACCGTGTCTTAAGTAAACGTCACGTTTTAAAGTGTAGATATCTTTTTACAATTGAAAGGTACAAACACTGTTAAAGTATCTTAAAAAGCACTTAATCCAATCGTCAAATATTTTAAAGACAAAATTATCTAGAACAAAAAAATTACTATTCAGTATTTTCTATTGTTAAATAAGCACTAGCTTTTGTTTTGATATTTACATCACATATATACAAGTACATTTTCTGTCACCAAAATAGGCGTGCTATCTGCAGGGAGAACTATAGTTTGGAGACGTGTACTACACATCAAGGTGCATCGATAACCATGTAAGGAGAAGAACTTAATATCCTCATTAATTGAAATACTCAAATAAAATAGAAATTAAACCAGTGGTACATTGTGTAATTATTCCTTACGGATTTGTTCGAAGGATTTATAGTATTCATATTTTTGTTATCTGGATAATTTAAATTCATTTTTAATGGAGGTTTTCTTGCAATATTTTTTATTGATTGAAATATAAAATGTGTCATCAGATTTTAAAACTTTTTTTCATTCAATTTTCTAAATGTAAAAAATTGATCACATTTGCCAATCTTATTCATATCATATTTTCATCTATCATTGAATAAGAGGTGTTTTGCTAAATTGTCCTCAAGCCTCGGTGTCAAAAGTCAAAAGATCAAGTCAATTCGATACTATTTTGCAATGTTGATGTACACATGTATCTAGTGATGAACAAACCACACTTTAACTTTCACAACCCGCTTGCTTATTAGAAGAAAAGTTTAAAGTGTAAACAGATTTTTTAAGTCCAGAATCTCTCATTCAGTAATCATTTCACTATCTAAGGATCATTTGTTTAAGTAAATCCTTTTTCCATTTAAGGCGTGTGTTTCGAGTCTTTCGAGTGTTGACATTATTGGAAAAAGAAATATTGAAAAATGCTCGAAATGCTGCCAGGAAGATTTATGTAACAACCAATGTAAGTAGTATTTAACTGAAGTTTCAATAAATAAATCGTTTGTGGGATTGCATTAAGTACTCAATTTAAGAATTTCCATTTAATTCCTCAGTTTATTTGACTGGGGTTTTAATTGTTCCAACCAGACAAATTTTACGACATCGGGTGGATTCTGCCTGTGTGTATTTTTTTTTCCATTACATGGTACATTTAATACATACAGTTACAGATAAATTAAAAATTGAAATATTCTCTATAATGTCAAAAGAAATAAAAAATATGAAAACATTATAAAACCCTCTAAAATTATAAAATTAAATAAAATAAAAAAAGAGAGGCGACCTGCTTTGTCAGGAGGTAACGAAGATAAATTAATACAGAACAATATGTTTAATGTTCCGTAAAAGTATTTAAGCTGATTTTAACTAGGCTATAGGGAAAAGAATATCCCTATAACCGAATAACATCTTTGAAGTTAAAATGAAGGAAAGGAATTGTTCCTTTTATAAAACAAATGTGAGTGTCTTGCCTTGTTATGTTAGAAAATGCGTAGAAAGAAAGAGCTCACATGAGAAAAGTTTTCCCCTAAAGGGTTAACGATTCAAAACTGTATTGACATCACAAAGGGCGGCAGTTGATATCTAATTTGTAAACTCTTATCTCTCAAAATAATGTCGAAATGTTCAAAACAAATAACTAAATCTCATTCATAACAACAAAGGTTGACAGGTCGACAGTTGATATCTACTTAAGCTTGGGATACTATTTTTCTTTAAAACAAATATCAACCTGTCGACTCATTCACCTATCAACTCTTCAACCTGTCAACTCCTAACTCGTCTAACTGGCTGCATGTCAATCCGTCGATTTTCTTCTTAATACATATGGAACTGTCATTCTGTTAAATTTTAACTTGTCTACATGGCCACAATTCTACCAAAAATTTATTAAGCTACATAAACGACTGTGTATTTATTTGAAGAAAGAAAAATCAAAAATCCAAGCTCAAATGCATGTCGAAACAACACAGGTACTGTGTAAACTAAACACAGACCTCTAAATTATCATAGATGGTGTCAGGTATCACGGTAGAGTAATGATAACACTTTCAGATCCACCATGTGCGTATTGTATAGATTGAAAAGCTGGTATTTTACAATGTGTGAAAATTTTCAATCAGAATTTGACATTATAATAAATGTCTTCAATCCAACTTTTGAATGGTTACTCCTGGACATCAAGCAGTCAAACTGTATGGATGATTGTAATCAGCATTGAGTCCTCTACCAAAATTGTGAAATTCATGGCCCATGGGTCAAGGGTTCTATTTTTAGGACGGGGCTAAAAAAGTATATAGTGAAAATGCATTATATCTTTAAAAGTCTTCTTCTCTGCTCCTGGGTATAAAATAAACCAACTAAGTGCATAGTTATGATGAGCAAGAGTGCCTCTATCAAAATTATGAATTTTATGTCCCCAGGGTAAGGGGTTCTGGTGTTAGAGTGGGGCTCTATTGATCATATAGTAAAGATCCTTGAATTCTTTTCTGCTCCTAGGAATTTCACAAACTAAGTACATAGCTATGATGAACATGAATACCTCTTTCAAAATTTTGATTTTATGGCTCTAGGGTCAGGGGTTCTAGATAGGGTGGGGCTCTATTGATTATATAGTGAAAATACATTAAATCTTTGAACGTTTTCTTCTCAGCTCTTGGGTATTAAGCAGATAAACTACCTATATAGTTATGATGAGCAAGGGCCTTAATCTTCCAGAATTGTGAATTTCAAGGCCCCAAGGTCAAGGATACCATAGAAGGGGGTGTACTTATATACTGAACTGGATGAATTGTTTGAAATCTGCTCCTTGGTATTAATCAAATACTTTTGAAAACCAAGGATGCCTTTTCAAAAATTGTGCAATGTGTGGATCTAGGCCTAAGGGTCAGGGGTTAATGTGTGATAGAGGCAAAACTGATTATTGCTGAATATTATGGATTACTTGAAATGCATATTTTGTTCCCCTACTCTGCCTATTGGTATAAAGTAAACAAACTGATCATGAGCAACTGCTAAGTGTATTGTTAAGATGATAAATAGTGCCTCTTTCAAATGTTGAACGCCATAGCATCTTGCTTAAAACATGAATGAAATTTAAACTGGAAGTTGTTGCATAATGCTTAGGTGACCTATAAGGCCCCTGAGCCTCTTGTTATGAAATGAAAGAAATATAATAACATTTCAAGGATGATATTTCTTCATGCGATACCATATGCATTGACGACTTATCAAAATATATACAAATATTTGCATAATTATTAGACTTTGATATGTTCTCGTCAATGTCATCAACAACGACAACATTGAAGACAACGACACCAGCTGATTCTACAATGAGGCCGACAAACTCGATGTCGACAACCCAACAAACCTACACAGGTAATAATGCTATTTTTGCATTCTTGATTTTGCTCAATTAGAAGTATATGGAGATAACAAAGAGTATTTAATATCAAGTCCATTAAAACAATACAAAATAGGAATAGAACAAACACATACCTCCGAAACAGCAGATGTGAGATCAGATGCTGTGGAGGAGTAGACTACCCAGTAGTCACATCCGCCGTGTGCTCAATGCCATGATCGGGAAATAACGAAAAAAGCCATCGTCAATTTAGTGTTTAAATAATGTACTAACAATTAATATGAAAAACCTCAGTAAGCAATTGGCTCAGTGATAAAATGCATCTGCTGACAAGGTCATTGTATCGACCATAGAACGTACGAAATGATGACTTTAAACGATACTGTAGACATTCCTGTTTCATAAACTTGCTTGACAATAATTTACTTCGTTTTAGAAATTTTGCATAGGTAGATCATTCTCCTGTTTATCGAATAAACTGATATAGATATATTCTCCGTATGCAGGTGATATATAATATAAAGTTAAAGTATATCGCTGAGGGCTCTTGCGCCGAGGGAAATAAGCTTGCTCGAGGGGAACTGGAATCTTGCTGACTCCCAAAATGATATACTTTAACTGTTTTATTATACCGATACAAACAAGGCATTTGAAAAAAAAATTATATTCAATACTGTATTTAGTAACAATGTTTAATTCCAACAGGAATAGATGAAAAACACGACAAAACAGAATAGATTCATGTAAGGAATTCCATTTTATCAATAAATCAGTTCATTGTCCAAGTTTTTACTCGGTAAAATCGAAAGTAACATTACGCAAATTTGAGCACACCATAAATTTCTGTTGTAATTTGCTTCCAGTAAACTGGTTCTTTTTTAATGATATGGTACCAGTTGACTCGTGATACCTTTCGATTCACTAATGACTATTCATGAGTTTATTCGGAACATTTTCAGTTTGTCGTAAGTTGAAAGAAAATGTCTAGCGTTCCGAATAGGTGTGTATCAGTTCATCAAGAAAGCTTACTTTTGTGCAGGGAATCAGTATAATTCTTCATTCACATTGCTAGAGTTTTGTGAATAAAAAAATGTATTTGTTGTTGATAGTGAATCTTGCACGTATTTTTCGTCTTTGAAAGGAAAATATTATATATCATGGATATTTTTTTTATAGTACCTTATCTAAATATCTCCGCCCATTTACATGTAACAGAAAAACCGTAGTCTGATGGAGGGGAAAAGTTCAGGCATTTTTTAACGCGATAGGTGTTAAGAACTGGCTTGTATTTTTGGTTTTGTTTAACAATTTATTTTGAAATCATTATGATTTTATTAGAAATACTTTGTTATACACAATGAAATCAAACAAAATACCCATTGCTTCTATCTATCCAGTAAACCAAGGGTGTAAAAAGGGACCACGCTACTATACTTAAGTGGAATACTCCTTTCAAAAGTAAACTTTCCTTTTGTTTCCCTCAGCGATGCTATGGCTGCAGTACTTGAAAATGGCTTATGTACGCATTTCCAGTGCTCTAGCCTGAAAATGTTACTGGAAATGTGATGGAGAATTGCTGATGCGAAATTTCACCACATTTAACCTCAACAGGGTCTTATGTATTATATTCATTAAAAACAGTCGTTATACCGGAATTCCAAGGGTGGCTACACTGCTGTTATTCGACCTATAACTCATCTGATAATCGTGCAATTAAATTGCCAAAAATATTTCCTTCACCCAGATCTCGATATTAATGAACCTATTGTAGCGTAGAAATTAAGCTGCAATTGTTATTTGGGGCAGTCTTGCACGTTTTACTTGAATGGCTGGAAGGGGGTTGTTTTAACAGTCATATGTTACTTTATAAAGTTAAAAGATAAACATTTAACACTTTTATCAAGTCTCAAATGTTCCCAAAAGTGAGTTTAGCCTTACTTTTTGCTTTTGAAAATCATAAAATAAAAACAACAGACATTTTCAGATAACTACTTGTTGCGTTTCTTTTGTGTGTCAGTATATAATGTGCAATAGTTACGCGTACGTGTAAGATCACTCCTAGGTTTACATGTACTGAAGTTGTAATAAATAAATAATTTGTGGATTTGCATAAAGTTCTCAATTTATGAATGAGAACATACACGGTCAAATGCTTATATTATAACATATCTAATACATCGTCAAAAGCGTCAAAAATCAGATGCAAACCAATTACTGTATACAGGGAAATTTTCGCCCCCGTTTTATTTTCGCCCCCTTCGCCCTACGATCTTTTGGGCGAATTTAAAACGGTGCGAATTCAAAGAATACAGTATAACTTCTTAAACAAAACAATGATTGGGCGAATCTAAAACGGGGCAAAATTGTTTGTAAGTGTGAAAGGGCGAATATAAGACGGGGCGAAAATAACCCTGTATACAGTACTTGTTCCTTTCATGAATCAGCTAAACCTGAAATGTATGATCTGTTTTTAAAATATCTTACATTTATCTGTCAATATATACTCGTTTTATTTAATGCTTAATAAGTACGGCATTGCATGATTTTTCTTCATAGATAATACATGTTCAGTTTTACACGTATAAGCAAACTACCCCTGAACCTCTGCGTTTCCACACTGTTTGGTACAAACTAACCATGGATGAAGTTTGATGTATAAGAAGTATTAAACTGAAGTTTAATGTTATTTATAACTAGAGATACTTCTATTTTTAACAAAAACGCAACAAATAGTAGGACCTCATTGCTCTATCTGTCTAAAAAAACTTTTTTCAGTTTCTTTGAGAATAAAGCGAGGAAATTCTTGGCACTTTGTATAACAAGCGTAATCCTTGTCCCCAAGAACAAAACTCTTAATTGTAATAGTCTGTCTTTAATAAATTAACATTTAGCCATATTTTTGAATATTCTCCATAGAAAATGTTCATGTATTTTCATGTGTACACGTCATTTAAAAATAAAAACGTAGTGCAAAGAATCCCGTTTGCTTTAGACTATGCCTGAAACATTTCCTAATTTCTCCGCACTTCTTTCATGTTAATGTTTGTCAATCAGGATTGGGAGAAATATTTGGCACGTACATTGTTTACAACAGTTTTATTTTATGGTTATCGTGCGTTTTTGTTAAACATTTAGAAGCTCTGTTTAATATACTATTATATTAGTGTTAAATATTTTTGTTTACATTGTGTTAGCTCCGCAGAAACGCACGACGACTTCAAACGTTCATATCAAATAACCGACTGCCTCCTGACAGCCGGTAATTACTGTTATATATGATATATAATTAAATAATCATGTTTTTTCAGGTAGCAGAGGTACAGAATTCCTTATTCTCTTCATGCATAACTGGAGTACTGCTCCTAAAAACCTCTCAATTTATATTACAACTGAAAATAAAACCGAGGTCAAAATTTCAAGTTCTCCAAGCCTGAAAGTGAACATTAGATTATCAGTTGACAAGACAATCAATATTACTTCGGATTCTTTGGTTTCTTTTCCGTTTGATCTGCAATGTGAATACATAAAGATTGAACCAAAAGGACTTATCGTACAGACATCAGAGCTAT